GGCAAAGCTGGATTTCCAAATTCAAAGTAATTATCTTGATTCAATTAATCAATAGATCCGTTCGTTGGGATCATTCAAGGGATGGACTAATTCTTTTCATCGAAATGGAAAATTCATTTCATTTCATTTCAAATTAAAATTTTCTTAATAATCTTAATTGAACCGTAAAATCTTAATTAAAATTTTAACTCATTTAGAATTGGAGATATTCATCGAGAACTGGCGCTAGAATGGAATTGACTTAAATCATTTGACTTCACTACTGAAATAATCAGTCGCTTTAGTGAAATAAAATATCATAGTCATTTTTCAAGTCCAAAAATTAACGAAAAATTCCAGTAAATATTTCTATATATTACGAATTTGAATCTATAAAAATTATGAATTATATTTCCACTCGCTTATTGTTTGAAAACCTAGTGATTTCGAGAATTAATTATTTTATGTTAAAATAATTAATTACTCTATTGACAACTATTTGGGTAAAATCATTTTTTGGGGGTGTAAAAATGTAAAAGTGTCTCCTAACGGTTCAAAACGAAGATTCAAATCTAGTCCTTCGTCAAATAGGGCTTAAAAAACTCCAAAACACTTGGCCAACCCTAAGTCAGATTATTTTATAAATATCTCCGATGTCAAGGGTATCTCCCCATCTAAAGAATTCAAAAGAATTCATCTATAAGAGCCTTTTTCCTAGCTCTAGTTTCTCCAAAAATTCCATCTCCCTGAAACTCGTCAAGTAAAATCGCCGCATTCTGTTTCACTCCACTGCTGAATAAATTTTGTTCTCTTCTCATTTTTGATTTTTGATTTTTTTAAAGGAACGAAACATCAACGGTATCATTGTCCATCCTCGATAATGATGGTCGTCGTGTGAAGGAGGCAGTATTCAGTCACAACTACACACTGCGGGCGGAAATATCGCGGCCCGATGGTTCGTAACTTTAGCCCATTATCATCCCAGTGCGCACCGTTGCGCCTGAAACTCCCCCGTCTGTCTGAAACGATCACTCGTTCCAGAGGAACGCACCCGTAGCATCCGGATATGCCATTGATATTTTATCCGATGAATAATCAATTACACGTCTTATAACCGGCCGCAGCCCCTTTGTTCAGCGATTTTCTCATTTTTCGTTTGCACTTAGGGATCTTCGGGATGAGAGTGAAGTCTTGCTTTGTATTCAGCGCAACGAGGGACCCTGTCTACCTGAGTGACGAGAGAGGGTGTCCCACTCTCACCAGAGGCATCACCAAATTCACTTATGATAAAAATACAGGCATCGCTGATGCCACTATCATCACTATGTTCAAACTGACTGATCACGATCAAGTGCATTTGCAGTGTAACGTGGCTGTCTGCAGAGGTAATAATCATTTTCATAAATAAATTTTTCCACTCAATTTTTCTGAAATTTACGTATTTTATTATTCTCAAAATGATAAAATATGTAAATTTCTGGAAATTATAAAAGAAATTTATTTCATTATTTTGAGAAATTGAGAAATATCAGGAAGTTGAAGCCGACTGCATCAGTATAAAAAAATACGAATAATTTAATTCCACGCAAAACCAGAATTGTTGTTGTAAAAACGAATAAACCCGACTTTACAACCAGTTTGCGAGAAATGCCTTCGACGCTGCGGAAAAATGCAAAAGGTCCTCATAAAATGTTTGTGATTACAGCTTTCCCAAAAACTTTTATCGATTTATTTCTCTCAAAACCTGATATTGAAGTATAATTACGCAATTCAGAACAAGTATTTGCTGCGTGTCTCTGCGTTTAAAGCGGATAGTGAGATCTTTAACAATCGTGTAAATTCCTTGATCAGTGGTTTATTAGAATGAAATAATTTTTTTTTTCAACATAAACAAATATTGGAAAAAAAACTATTGTTTAGACGATGAAGAGAACGAATTTATCAACACGCAATAACCCTTTATCCGATCCAAATGCATAATTTCGGGGAGTAATTAATAAGCAAAGTGAAAAAAAAAGTTCAAAAGGACTTGAATTCGATCGACAATCCGAATTCAACGAATTCAGCTGCCACCGGGTACCTCATCATTCTTTCCAAATTAATTTTCAAATTTCCAAATATGCTTTAATACGTAACAGAAAAAAATAAAAATATCTCTTCAACTGAATAATAAATGCGGAGCCCTAAGAAAAATAAAAATAATGATATTCAACGACTTGAAATCGACGTCATCCTCTCCATATAAACGCCATACTCTCCACACTATATTCCACTTTGGTAGTCACCTACTGAGTTTAATAGACGTCACTTCTAAAAATAATAAGACCCAAAGGAAAGAGCCATCAATACAGAGCGTGAGAGCCTCCTCCACGCAAAAGACTAATCCGAATGCAACAAAAACAACCCTGAATATTCTAAACCGGTATGACGCCACAAGTGGAGCATCAATTTCCCCAATAACAGTCTCCACTAGTTACCCACAATCTCCTAACGAACCCGTACTGTTATAATCGCTCGTGAAAGTCGATAGAATACCCAATTACCAACATTTCAATTTTTTCTACCAACAGGAAGCTGTGGAGTGCCCGTATGCGATGGAGACCCTCCATCGACGGGTCTGAAGGGTCGGGAGGAGCCGGTGGGGCCCGAAGAGAGTTCCCTGCTTGTTGGCACCAGTGTGTTCATCCTCATGCCCGGTGAAATGCCTCGTAAGACCCCTCTATTTGAATTTTCTCGTGTTCACAGTCACCTGCATGACTGGATAATTAAAAAAAATGATTTGCAGGTTCACTGGCTGTTGGGAATGAGACTATCCACCCCCAGTGGTTATTGTGGCTGGCGATAGCCTTCGGCATTCTCTTTTTGATAATGCTTATTATAAATATATTCCTCTGCTCGGCAATGTCATGCAGTTGTGCACGCACGGAGATAATTGAGAAGGAGCCGTCGATAATCGAAGATTACGATCCATATCGCAGTTGGCCGGGCTCACAGTATGGCTCCAGGTTCGTTAAATGGTTATTCTTTTCAGGAGAGGAAGTAAAGTCGATTTTACTGTGATCGTTGGAGAATGCAGTTCAATCTTTGAAAATAGGGAATTATTTTTCAACGCATTGGGGAGATTTTCAAGCGTCAAATTTGTGAATGAGACATCGTTCAAATTGAAAAATCACATCTTGTTCTCATTTACATCTTATGAATAAATAATGGAAATCGTCCGATTTTTCAAAGTTTCTCTTTGGATCAAATGAATTTTTGAGGAAATTCTGAAGAATTATTTTTGGGTAAAGAATTTACTGCTTATAAACTAACTACGAAAAAACGTCGTCATTCCCGAAAATTGAATTGAATTAAAATTGAAGGGTTAAATTTAAATTCGATTTGACTGTGATCGTTGCTATCGTGGACATTTGCAGTGAGGGAGTGTTGGAAAATGCATTTGGAATCTTTGAAAGTAATTAATTATTTTTCAACTCATTGTGGAGTTTTTCAACCGTCAAATTTTGGTAATGAGACATCATTCAAATTGAAAAATCACATGTTATTCTCATTATCATCTTATGAATAAATAATAGAAATCGTCCAATTTTTCAACGCTTTTTTTGGCTAAAATTAATTTTTGAGGAAATTCTGAAGAATTATTTTTCGGGTAAACAATTTATTGTTTACAAATTAACTAAAAAAACGGCGTCATTCCCGAAAATTGAATTGAATAAAAATAAAAATTAAAGAGTTAAATTACAATTAATTATTTCAACTTTAAAGTTTGAAAAATGAAATCTTCACAAAGTATATCCTCCAGTACAGCTCCTCATTAAACATTTATATATCCACAACAGTGAATAGCTTCGATTTAATTATCCCCCATAAAAATCTCGAGTATAAATTCACGCGAAAATTCGATACTCCTCGACGTAAGACGCACACCGCGATGAAAACAAGGAGAAATTAATTATGAGTCAGAATAAGTGCACGGTCAATTGATCCTCATCCCAGTATACATGTAATCCACGTAGTGCGGACACGCCTCTGGAGATCCGCCAAGGTTCGCGTATAACCGCATACCATAACGGTTCAGCGATTCACTGAATTATTCCTATCGCAGTCTCGTGTTTTGAGATGAACCAGAATTTACCTTTATGAGATCAACCGGGGATACGTATGATCTTTTATTCCACGATAACAGTTTTATTCATATACCAGTATATTCCCTCCAATCTGGTGCGAGTAACTGCACTGAGGATTTTTACTATTTGATAAATGGAAAAATTTATCGATCGTGTGAATTCGAGTTTTCAATGAAATTGATACTTGTTAACGCCACGTATGAGAAACATAGTAGAAAATCCCGACGTTTACTCTAGGAAATTTCATTCAATTCCTTCGCAATTCCATCAAATAATTTTATTGGTATTTTGCAAATTCATCTTTCGCTTTTTTATTTTTCTTCAGAAATGTTTGTGCACAACTCCTTGGAAGTTTTTCCGAATGTCGCAGGCTCGAATCCAAGTGCCAGGAATTTTTCAATTCACGCCATTGTGCATTAAAACCAATAATAGCCATTTTCATTTATCGAACTATACTTTACGATTATTTCAGGTACTCACTGAACGGTAAACCGGGTTATCCGTCTGGCGGATCAACGATGAACTCAACGAGATCGATATCAACGAACAGTGATCACTACGCGATTGTTCACTCGCGTCCAGGAAGCAGGTACTCGGGTCCAGGTCACAAACACCATCATCATCATCACCGAGGCCCACCCTCCAACATCGGCTCTCACTACTCAGCAAAGTGATGGCTCCGCCCTTCCCATTAAAATCCCTCCAACGAACTTCGAAAAAAAAAAAAAAAAAATAAAAACGAGTAAAATGGAAAACCGAGCAAGTTCAACTTGCTTGTTACACCCATAGACTTAATTCTCTTAGTCATGAAGATGAAATTTAAAAAAATGTTAATAACTTGAAGACAATGGAGAGCAGATCAACTAGGTGATTGATAATCACGTGGAATAATAGTACTTTGTAACATCAATTTATTATTAAGATTATCTGTAATTGAGTCTGTTGAATAGACTTAATTTTTGTACATAAATTTTTATTGATTTTAAAGTATTATCTTCATTATTATGCCTAAATATTACCCCTCTCGTATTCAGTATCATCACAATTTCTCTCTCCTCTCCTCAAATTTAATAAATTTTCTCACCTACGTATTTTAAATTAATGTTCTTTCATCTTTGTTACAATTCAATTTTCGTTAGTCTGACATTAATTCATTCGAGATATATTTACGATTTTTTTCTCGTTCACTAGAATAATACAAACATCAACAATAATCGTCAGTGATTACTGTTGATAAAAACCGTTGACTAGTACGTATTAGTAATACCCATTGATCAGTAGTTGAGGTGGATTTCATTATAATCGAAGTTAAAAGGACATTGTAATTACCAGTGAAATAATAACAACTTCAATACCTCGGTAATCAATTCATTGCACATATCTAACAAATTTCAATAATAACAATTTCGTGATAATATTAGTTTCATTATTTCTCTAATTAACTATGTTACAAGTCCAACGAAGTTTTGGAAATCAAAAGGATGTAAAAGTTCATCTCCTGTGCGTGTGAGACTGAATAATAAACGTCACCATAAAATATTCTGGTTCATCTCCATAAATTCCACTGATTTCAAGCCACGTTGGCGAAAAAGAAAACGATATTCATTCAATTGTCGTTAGCGAAATGTGAAATGACAATCAAATGAATTTTCTTCTTCAACATGTTTTGAAATCACTGCAAGTTACCATCAAAGTGCGCAGGATGACTAATAAAAAATACAAAAAGTGTTCTATCGCACACGTATGAAAAAATTTAATCGAAACAATAGTGTTTCCTTAAAAAAATTCCAATTTTTTCTTGAATTTTATCGTGAGAAATGAATATACAGCGAAAATACAGTGAGAACAATTCAGAAATTTTACGCTCAAGAATTTCTCCAGGAGAATAATAACCTATTGACTTTTTCTATCAAATATCCCTTAACGAAATGACTCAAAAAAACAAATCAAATTTTCCAACAGAATTCAATAGAACTTCTCTAGCCATTTCCATTAAATTTTTTCACGCATGTAATCCCCAACAATTCCAACCTCGACCTCTCTAAATTCAAAGATTTATTGCACGACAAACGAAAAGAAAAATTTGCCTTACGTATTTTTATAAAAAGAAAACTTGTCCTTGATATCTCTCCCAATGAATCACCGAGGAATAATTATCTCTCCATGACAGTTTTAGCGGCTGTTTGTATCGCCCGTGGGACGCACCGAGGACACAGAATATCTGTTTTACAAACACGACTAAGCATATTACCCAATACTTGCGCTGTGCACGGTAGTGGTAGTGGCTGTGCAACAAGTAGTTCAGCCTCCATATTAGGTAGTACCTCGGATTGATAAATAGACATTGAGAAATGATGGCCACAGGTGAAGACAATGGTGTCCTCATCGGACTCTAGGAATTGCGCGACATCCTCGGGATCTCTAATGTGAATAAAAGGTCTTGGATCACTGGACTTCGAGGAAATGGTGCTGATGATGTCCTCCATCATTTCGCCAGGTGTCTTGCTCTCCTTCGAGCTGAGATACCCATTAATCGGTGGATCATAACTCCTGTCCATGAGCATTGAGAACATCTCGATGTACTCGAGACTCGGTTTCCCCTCGTCAATATGACGAAGAATTAAACTGCTGACTTGAAGACTGAATTTCGCTGACACATGATCGATGACTCTGGGAGTCGAGCTGTCCACCTCATGGCTGCAGAAGAGCAGCAGCCCCAGAGGATAGAAGAGCTTCTTCATGTTCTCCAGGAGGAGATCCTCCAGCACCTCCACATCCAATTTATTCTTGATCCAGAAGTCGAAGGTGGTCTGCAGCACTTGTCGCATTATCTTGTGGGCAGTCTCATCGATTTCCCTGATGTAAAATTTAATGATCTTGAGGGCATCAGTGGTCATGAGATCCGAGGGTTCGGAGTATTCCTCCCCCGAGTGGAGCCCCCCATTCGTCAAATCCCCGTTCAGCCTGTCCTTCGAATGGTTCACCTCCTCGTCGTTATCAAGGGCGCCCTCAGTGAGATCCAGGGAGACATTGTCCTCGCTCTTCGCGTCCTCGCACAGCTCCTCAGACCCCCCCTGGCAGTCGAAAGTATGCAATTCCTGTTCAATAAGTTGAATGCAGTCCAGCGATTTACTCGTAGACATCTTAACTCGTTTCTTAGTCTCACTCTCCTCCAAAGAGTCAACAATATTCTGCTCAATCTGCTTGACAAACAGCTCCGTATTCTCACGGACCTTCTCATCAGCCACACTCACTCTATTCACCACTATTCTATCATCAACGGAAGACATCGAAGCAGTCTTATAATTATCAGGATTGAGTGTCTTCAACTGATAAGCCAGCGAGATCGAGTAGTTGTGCTCCAGCAAAGCTAGTTTCGACCTGGCTTGGTAATTCTCCAGCTCATCGCACTTCTCCATGATTTTCCCAGCATCGTAGATCCCACTGAACTGCTCCAGGGCGTAATGAAGGGTCAGATCCCCATAGGATCTCTCCACGAGGCTCAAGGGTCTCACCCTCCCAGCCAGAGGTGTCACGTCGTAGCTCTGGTACGTGATTATAGGGGTAGGAATGTGGGGAACCAGACTGGGCGAGTCTTGAGCCACATGAGCTCCATGAGGAAGTCTCACCACTCGTTTCGAGGATTTAATGAGAACGAGTTTCTCAGCTACACTCCCACCGCTCTCCTTGCTCGGTGGCCGCCCCAGCTGTGCTAGGCTGTTGCTCCCCCAGGCTAGGACCCCCCCACCAGGCTGAATGGCCACTGTGAACTCACACCCACAGCAGACCCTCAACGTCGCTGTCCCCAGGTGCATCATATCGCCCCTCGTGTCGTTCATGTTGGCGTCCTCTTCGTTATCCTGAGCTCGATGCTTGGAGTTGTTTCTCGGGGGGACCTGCGCCAGGATGGAGACGGCATTGTAGGTCAGAGGGGTCGGAATGGCGACGTCCTTTCGAGTTCTGTTCCCAATCTGGCCGTCCAGGTTCCTCCCCCAGGTGTAGACAGTTCCATCCTTCGTCAGGAGGGCTGAGTGGTGACAGCCTGTGGATATCTGGACTATCCTGCCGTTCACCAGTTGTGTGTCCACTGGGCTGGGCTTCAGGTGCACCTGAGTCTCCTCGAGAAGCCCCAGGTTAATGTCCCTCAGACTCACCACGATTTTCGCTACGTTGGGACAGTTCTGTCTTCGTTCGTTCACTGTCTTCATGGCCAATTTTTCGATGGACGATATGTCGCCACTGGGCTCCTCGTCCCCTGATTCAACACTCGGGTCGAAGTCCACCAGGCTCTCGGCGTATTTCTTGGCAGCCGCTTGGAACTCCAGTAGTTTCGATTTCTTCTGGGCCTGAGTTTGCAGACGAAGCACTTGAGGACTCGCTCCCCAGGTGTGGAGCTTGTTGCTGGTCGTCAGAGCCAAATTATGAAAGTATGACGTGGCAATATCAGAGATGGGGTCTGGTAGCAATGAGACTCTGATTGGAACTGTGGATTTGGTGGTGTTCCCAGTGCCCAACTGTCCGAAAATGTTGCAGCCAAAGGCGTAGACAACTCCATCGTCAGATAAAAGGAGAGTGTGTGCGTGTCCAGCTGCAACTGTCCTGATGACAATCCCCAGGAGAGCTTCGACGAGAGTCGGGACATTTCTTTCGTTCGTGTTGCCATGCCCCAGCTGTCCGTGCACTCCCCACCCCCAAGTGAAGACTCTTCCGTCCATGGTGAGTGCCACCGAGTGGTACTGCCCAGCCACAGCATCAACGATCACCTCCTGAGCCAGGGAGATTATCAGCTCTGGACTCGGACACTGAAGGACCCTTCCAAGACCCAATTGCCCATACTGGCTCCCTCCCCAGGCGTAAACCCCGTTATTGGTGACAGCCAGAGTGTGATTTCGCCCGCAGGAGACACTCAGCACCTCCATCTCCATCGTCTTGAAGACAGTGATAGCCTGGGGTGAGCCGTACCTAGATATCGACGGCCCAGTCCCCAAGCATCCTTGAGAACTAGACCCCCAGGTGAAGACGTTGCCATTCCTGATCAAGGCCACGTGCCCGTACCCAGCTGCCAGCAATCTCCTCTTGAAATTAACATTCGTAACGACATTGTGACGTTTTTCAACCCCCGGATGATTGATCTTCGCCACTAACGAGGGATTGTGCTTGAGGACAGGCGAACGCTTGCTGATGAGGGTCAGCAGGACGTAGAGAAAGGTCTCAATCAACTCCTCCACCAACGATCCAGTTTCGTCGAGAATGTCAGAGGAGTCCAGAGAGTCACACTGACTCGACTGAGAGCTGTGAGACGTTGTTCTTCTTCTTGCCCTGTACTTCACCAACAGTGGCCTGAAGATGGGGTTCGTTGGGTCGTAGAGGGTGACCAATCGCTGGAGGACAAACACCTGGAAGTCCTGCAGGTTCGACAGGACGAAGGACATGTGGCTCCGGGCTAGGGCTGGCGTTGACAGCATCGACTGGAGGAGACTGGGCTCACTGATGCAGATCATCAGACCGTACTTGCTGTTCAAAGGAGACGTCGGTGACAGTGGATACGACTGCACTGCCTTGATGAGGACGTCGAGGACTTGGGCGTAAAGCCCTCTCTGACTGGCCAAGTGATGCAGCACCTTCCAGAGGCAGGTCTGGCCCACCACGTCCACCACCCACCGTTCATCATAGTACGTGTTCCTGGATAGAAACAGCAGGAAGTCCTTGTAGATCCCAGTGGCCTCGCTGGGAGACGCCCTCAGGACTAATTCACTGAACGCAAAGACTGTCAGATTAGACAAATGAATTCTAGTGGTTGTGGTGAGCTCGGTGACAGCCGGTGGTGTGAGACAGTGCCCAAGACATCCAAGAAGCTTCTCAGTGTGTCCAGTTGCTGCCGTCTTCAGCACCCCCTTCAACAGCCTGCACCTAGACAATTTGTAGAGTGCAGCTGCCTCCGTGAACCTGCTGTTAGCAAGGTGAATGTCACCTGCACACTCGAATAGCTGAGGAACATTGATACCGAATACTAGACCGAGTCTCGCAGCCTTTTCAATATCTCTCTTGTTGTTCTTTAGTGCCAGCTCTATGAACACAGTCAGCAAGGGCCTCCTCAGGACGATTTTGTAGATACCACAGTTGGTGACGACGACGCAAGTGTCCACTGGTGGCACCTCAATGTTGAGATCGTCGATTTTACAGGGAAGAATCTTTTTCTTGTCGTCTTTGGAGGACTGCTGGTCATCAGTGGTGGATTTGTAGTCGGAAGCCCTGAAGACGTGGGTGATCACTTCCCTGCCATCGTCAAACTGAAACCTCGAGATTACGGACTCGGGGTTGAAGTGGGAGTCCTCGGAGTTGTTTATCCGAACCTCGGACAGGGGACAGGAGATCATCCACAGGGTTCTTCTTCGTGGGCCAGTCGTGAAGAAGAGCCTTTGAGTCAGGAGAATGTCAGTGCAGATCTCAGGCATTTTGTACATGTGGAGGGGAATGACGGAGACGTCTGTCCCGTGGATGGTGATGTGGTTCGTCCCCTCGCAGTAGGCTGTGTACAGGTGCTGGCCCTGTCTCGTGTACTGGGGGGACAGATAGGTGTCCTCTGAGAGGAGCTCCGGGGTCACCAGGGTGTCTCGTCTGCCCGAGGGGTCCGAGTCCTCGGCTCCACTGCTGCTCCCACTGTCCTGACGAAAGACCGAGCTCCCAGGGTTTTTGTTTCGAGATTCAGCGAGTTTTTGCTTCAATGACGCCAATTTCTCCACTGACAGTTGCTTCAAGCCTTGGAGGCGAGACCTCGTGGGGAAGGGTTTGGTCTCCTCGGTCTCGATTCTCGAGTGAAAGGGCGAGCTCTTGTGGAGGGAGAAGATGCAGCCGTTGGCTCTCTGCTCCAGGACCAGGCGCCACTGCTGGCGCGTCCTGTTGGTGATCAGAAGGGAGACTATTTCGAGATTGTTGTCCTGGCAGATGTCTAGTGACGATATGGAGCCTCTGACCCGCGTCGAACCGATCCACTGGCCGTTCTCCAGGTTTACGAAGATCACTTCGCCATCCTCAGTGCCCACTACACCGATGTGACTCGACTGGGTGACCCCCTGCCACCAGGTCAGCGCTGTGGGACGAGAGTACGAGGACTGCAGGTCGATTATGGGGATCGGGGTGACGTCCTTGGTCGACCACTTGTGGTCCACCACTTGGCTGTCGTCCACCAGGGCCAAGGCTGGGAGAATGTGCAGGGAGCCATCTGCACTCGCTGCCAGCAGCCATGTGCCTGTTGGGTCGAAGCAGAGGGCTGAAATGCCACGGCTTGGGGCTCTGTACCAGGGGATCCTCTTGATCACTGGGAGCTGGTGGATGTCCGAGTGGTAGTATATCCCCACGTCTGTCCGGCGAGTGGTGAAGGCCAGCAGCTGACGACGACCAACTTCGCATCTTGCGCTGTGGATTATCCCTGAGGCTTTGATCAGGCAACGCAACTCGAAGAGGTTCTCCTCGGAGAGGTCGATGAGGCTCTTCTGGTCATTCTCAGGGTGTTCCTCGGCCATTACATGGGTGCTCCGGTGGGCAGAGGGGGCACTGCAAGGGGAGGGCTTCGGTCAGTTGGCGAGCCTTCGAGAAACGAGGACTTTACTCCAGGGTTTTTACGAAAAAAATTATTCGTGTCAAGTAAATGAATGGGGGCATTCTAATACTTGGGAGTGGAGCTTGTGGTCAACCTGGGAATTGAAAATTGCTTCGAAAAATATTGTTCGGGCTTCAGAGTTTTGCTCAGGGTTTCCATGACGGTTCATTATCGTGACTACTAGCCAATAATTTTGAGGGGAATGTGCTGAATGTGGGACTCATACCTTCTACACTGCTATTGCAGCTGTGATGCCAATATAAATGTGAATGTAAATGTTAATTACTGAACGTCTTTGCTGGTTTTGTGCGGTGATTACGATAGGACGAGGGTTTGTCAATTATTTTTGGTGACCCCAGTGGCACGTGGGGGTGACCTCAAGGGGATGCAGCACTCACCTATTTCTGGGAACTGTTGCTGAGGTAGGTGAATGATTTTTGGATAAAACCTCGAGTCATGACTGCAAGTGTCATCCAGGACTGATTGTAATGTCAAACTGCTTTTGAGGTTACGATCCTTCTCGCACATGAAGGGGAATTTCCAATGAATGTCACTGCATTCTCCCGGGAACATTCGAAATGTTCAATTGTGAGAGTGGGGAGGGAGAGGAAAATCATGAAAGCCAAGTCTTTTTTATAAATAATGGAATTTATCTTCAATGATAGTGTAAAATGTAATATTCACAATATACAGAGCACTGATCAAAATTGCGTAGTAATAATTCTTCACTGTTAATTGAAATAGTGTTTGAACTGAGATTCCATCGAACGGAAATAAAAAATTCCCAAAATCACTGTCTCATAAAATTTAATAAAAAATAAATTTTTCACAATTTATTTACGTACTTTCACTTAAATGCACAATTATGACTATTTTGTCTTCTCATTATTTTCATATAAATTGCAATTATGTACACACACTCAATTATTTCGCATAAAACTGCAAATATTATTACAAAATTGTGAGCGTTTAAGATTTCTATACCTCACATCTGGCATTGTCATTTCCAGTTATTTTTGTGCACAATCAGTGTAAAAAATGAAGGTGGAAAAATTTTTCCTCGAGCCAAAATGGAAATATCTTCGTACAAAAATCTCTGGCAATAAAAAAATTTACATTTCTCTCCAATGTACAATGTGAAAAGTAATTTCACTCAAGAAAAAACTGAAACATTTAAGGCAACTCGTGCTTACGACAAAATCAACTGCGTTGAAAGGAAGACATGATTTTTTTTCCCTAATGTTTATCTCATCTCGTGATGTTGCTTGTTGCATTTGACATCGATGTGCGCGTTCTGAAGTATAAAATCATCACAGCATCAATACGTGGGACGGAGACACTACTTTTTTTCTATTTACTGTTACGCTGAGCTCAATAGTTCCCTTTGAAAAAATATTATCGTTTAAATAATTGCACATCACTTGAAATTCATTGGGTTTGGGGGGGGGGGGGGGGGGG